CAAGATGTATTTCACTTTAGGAAACATGACAAGTTCAATCTTGTTGGGAAAGCACCCCTCTCATGGAAAGGATCCAAGCATCAAGGACTCCTGGCCGTTACTGTTAATAATACCCGGGCTTAGCAAGCTTTTTTCTCACTTCTCTTTTCATGTGTCAGGAACGCACCAGAAAGTTGGTCTGAACTGGAAAACTATGATAGCGAGCGTCAGACAAGCTAAAATATTAAACCAACTTCCAAACATAATGTAATAGCTGGTCTCATTCCAAAGCTGGTAACCATAGTTTCCCATTTCAGGAGAAACAGAGATCCGTGGTTAATTAGGGGCTTCCTCTTTTAATTGCAGCTCATGGCAAGGAGAAGAGTAAAGGAATTGTGTGCAGAGAATGCAGGCACAAATCTCAGCCAAATTATGCTACTTCTGATGCTTCCATTATCTCTTTCTCAAGGCGGTCCCCCCACCCCCTCCAATAAAAAAAACTATTGCTGGCTTTGCAGTGTCAGCAAGACTGGAAACCAGAAAAGGTCAAGCTACACACTTTCCCACCTTGACCTGCAGCTAAAGGCCCATAAACTCTTTGTTCCTGCGCCCTCTTTCACCAAAAGTCCAAGATGTAGCATTGATTTCTTGTGGGGGAAAAGAAAGTTAGTTAGGCAAGCTTTCAAGCATAAAAACCGAGTTTATTTGACAAGAAGCTGAAACTGAGCAGGGCTGAGACATCACTGGCCTTTGTCTAACGCAGGAAATGGCTCGTGTCCCCAACAAGAAAGTTCCAAGAAAGATAAAACGTTATACAACATAATGAAACCAATAATTGTTTTTAGGGGGTGGTGTCCTTAATTATTATTTATCAGACAGATAAAGTTTCAGAAAAGCTATCTGGCATCAGATCAAAGGTTGATCCAGCACAGCATCACGTTCCCACAAGAAGTTCTTGGGAAGCCAATGAGTGGCTAACAGGAATATATTGCTTCCAATACAGAAGACAGCGCATAACCATCATGACTAGACTTTATCGTCATACACAAAATAAGAAAAGGAGCATTTTAATAAAAAGGCAATTGAAAGGGTTGCAGGAAGTATACAAACAAACAAGAATTAGAAACTGGCTTTCAGTTGTGGCACCCCAGCTATGGAATGAGCTCCCCAAGGAGGTGCACCTGGAAGGTACTCTGTGTTATTTTTGGTGCCAGGTTTTAAGTTTTAATGTTGCATTTTGTCCTGTACTGCTGTTACACCTCCATGCTGGTTGAGTTGCAACTGCTGTGGCTTTATTGTTGCATGTTAATTTTTCATTGTTTGTGTATTTGTAACTTTTGTTAACCTCCCAGGGAACCTTGGCAACTGAGTGTTAGAACAATGAAATAACCAAATAAATAGAAGTTAAAAGTCTGCAACACTGTGTCCCTGGACACACATTGCTTGCTGTGGCCTCCCTTAGCAGGATGCACTTGTTCGAGAAAGTATAGCTGAATCTGGGGAAGCGCTTTTGCGGGAATGAGCCCTCGCGCGTACAGAAGGAGAGCAGCTCAAGAGCAGCACCAGCTTTCTGCTGGAGGATTCAGTGATACAAATCTTAATAGCCAATGAGCAAACCAACTTCAGCATCACTTATTTCCAAAAGCAGATTGTAGCAGATTGCACTTCCCTCACTTCCTTTTCATGCAGTTTCACAAGCAGAGACCAAACACTGAGATGCAACAGTTACAAGAGCTGGCGTTTGAAGCTTTTTCAACTGATCAGACTCCAAACTAGGAATACCATCAAGCAGAACAGTATAGCGCAGGCGTCCCTGTTCACATGGCCTTACTGTCCAGTGATGCTGAACAAGCCCACTGAGACCACCACATTTTTGAGTAGGAAGTTTTCCTAGCCTTGTCTAGAGAGGCCAGGGACTCGACCTTCTGCACAGAAAGTCACTGAGTCTCTTCCAGTATGTTGTAGTCCAACACATCTGGAGAACACGAGCTTGGGAGACTGCTTGGCAGGATAGAGCATAAGGATATCGAGGTGTAGACGAAGATGCACTCTGCTGTGATGCTCATGGGGTAACCCTGGGCCAGCCACCGTTCTGCTCCTAAGTGACCCCACAAGGTTACTGTGAAAATAAAGGAAAGATCCGTTCAGGAGCATGGCTCCCCACGGACCATGGAAAGATCTGTTCAGGAGCATGGCTCCCCACGGACCATGGGAAGATCCGTTCAGCAGTATGGCTCCCCACGGACCATGGGAAGATCCGTTCAGCAGTATGGCTCCCCACGGACCATGGAAAGATCCGTTCAGGAGCATGGCTCCCCACGGACCATGGAAAGATCCATTCAGGAGCATGGCTCCCCACGGACCATGGAAAGATCCGTTCAGCAGCATGGCTCCCCACGGACCATGGAAAGATCCGTTCAGCAGCATGGCTCCCCACGGACCATGGAAAGATCCGTTCAGGAGCATGGCTCCCCATGGACCATGGAAAGATCCATTCGATCTGTTCAGGAGCATGGCTCCCAATGGACCATGGGAAGATCCGTTCAGGAGCATGGCTCCCCATGGACCATGGGAAGATCCGTTCAGGAGCATGGCTCCCCATGGACCATGGGAAGATCCGTTCAGGAGCATGGCTCCCCACGGACCATGGAAAGATCCGTTCAGGAGCATGGCTCCCCATGGACCATGGAAAGATCCATTCGATCTGTTCAGGAGCATGGCTCCCCATGGACCATGGGAAGATCCGTTCAGGAGCATGGCTTCTCTTATGGAGTTATTCCACCTCATCTTTGGTCTTCCTTGTCTTCTTCCATCTTTGACTTCCATTTGAGCAAGGCCCAGGAAAATCTCCAGCAGTGGAATCCCATGCATGCATACTGAAAAGCAAAGCTTGAGAATTCAATGGGACCTACTTCGACATCAAAGGGAACTGGATTGCCACACAAACCAACTTGCACCACCAGTTCGTAACTGGGACCTGGCCATTTGGATGAGATTGTTGAGGGCCCCCTGGGTAATGCCACCTTAATATCCTTTCTTCCAGCTGAGCAAGGATGGGGTGAGGGTGTTACTGCTACTTTACCATATTCATTAAAAGTACAGGAAGAACAAAATCCTATTCGTGTTTGCATAGGAAACGTTTTCAGTTCCCAGAATTATGGGACTTTCTTCTGTCCAACCACAAACAGGATTGTATCCTAAACGATGGACATGGTGCTCTTGCAGCTCTTCAAGGAGTGACAGAGAAGCATAAGATTACATCTGCTCAATAAAGCTCCACTAGTCACTAAATAATGATGAAAGGAAATATCAGTTTTACAAATATTTGTGATTACTACCCATTACCAAAGCAATGCTATGTTCTAGAACAAACTGTATAGGCCGGATAAATATATGACTGAGAATTGAATGCATTGGATGGGAAAGTGGTTGATAAAGACTCTTGTTTAATGTAAATATGCTTAAATGAGGAGTTGTTTGCTAAATCTCTGGAATGACCCTTGGCTTCTCTTTTTCTTACACACTCTTTTTTCTTTTTATTTTCTGAAAATAAATAAAAGGATTTGAAATAAATCTCACTTTAGAGAAAGAGACACATGAAATTGACTGGACTAAAAGCTTCTGGAAATATGATATAACAAGCCTTCTGTACATTATGGCAATAGGAGAGGGGGCTTCAAGTGGGCCGAGGTCGGCTCCAGAACAGCCCCTTTTAGGGAGCCAGGGTGACTTCAGAATGGAGAAGGCTACACAAGGCCTGTCCAGTTCATTTGCTATTTATAGTAATAAATCAACTAACAATTCACTACCCTTTTAATGATGCTGAAAATTAGGTTACCCAAAATAACCCTTAATCCCAAAACAATCTGAGTCATGCCCCCAAGGGAGGAGGCAAATACAGTCACCCAGTTATCCCTGGTGAGTGACAGGAACTGGTTTAACAGTTGGCCACTCCCAACCTGCCAGGAAGGGTTACCAGAGTAATCAGCAACAATTGTGCTTCTGAGTTTGCACAGAGTGCATTCTGGAATACTATCTGCTGATTTCCACACCACAGCCAAAGCTTTCTAGGAAGACTGGAGACTAAGTGGTCTTTCTCTTTAAAAGTCACTGTTGCTCAGCTCCCTGTGATAGAAAGAGTTTTGGGTATTTATTTTTTTACACATATTTATAGGCCGCCTATAACTGCTGAGGCCTTCCTAGGTGGCTTAGAATGTAAAATATACCAACAGTAAAAACACATTAAAATCCAACTAAAACATAATTAGACATCTATAAAAATTAAAAAGGGCCACAGCACACAGGCTAAATATTAAAAAAAATTCTAAAAGAGTATGCAGGGCTTGACATCTTTGTAAAGGTAACCTCTGCAGGTGAAAGACAGCAAGGAGAGGCAGAGTTATGATGGCCTGTCATTCCATTCCCATTCGTAAAGAACGTGGCTTTCTGTGCTACGTTTTAGAGACGCACGGACAGAAGCACTGCACAGAAAGAAAAGCTAGGAAGGCCTGCTGGACTCGCTTCTGAGGAAAAGTGAAAAGGCTAGCAGCAGGAGCGCTTTTGCTGCTCAAGGCAGACCTGTGTTTTGGTATCAGCCAGCCACACGTGCTCCTGTGCGAAGTATCCCCGGAGAGAGCGGAACACTTGAACTCAAAACCCAGCGGGGGAAATCGATCTCGCCCCCACAGACCGAGAAAAGTTATTCCAAGATATATCCCACTGCCACTGCTAACTGTCCAGTGGGCTGCTTCGCAGTGTCGCTGACCCCAAGCCTGACATCCCGGCCCCGTCCCGCACATATTGCGCCGAGGAAGCTCTTCCCCGCGCAGTATCCCCATTCTGGTCCACGGTTCCCGGTTGGGTGTAAGTCAAGAGAACTGCCCTTCGAGTACGCGACCGCAGCCTTCCATCCCTGCAGTTGTGCCCTTGTGCCACGGTAATCCGGCGGAACCCAGCGGCGATTACTCGCGAGTAGACACGCGCTTGGGGCTGTGTGCAACGGGGGCGGATTCCAAACTTACCCCATTCACGGGATCGGCGGCCAGGCAGAGGGCGACCAGCACGAGGGTTCTGCGGGGGGGGGGGGCGAAAAAAGAACAAATCCGCACGTTAAACGCAAGCGGGGAGGGAATCAGAGCAGGGCCCCCTTCCCCACGATCTGGGCCACTCACCCTGCACGCATGTTGCCTCCGGCGCGGCGGCGGCGCGGCTGCGCTCCGGCTTGGGCGCTCGGCTCATGGAGCGCCTTCGCTGGCTCGGCCCCCGCTCCGCTCCGGGAAGGCGGAAGGGAGCCCGCTAGGGCGGGGGGGGGGGCGGTGCGACCGGGAGCCCCGCTGCTCGCCTCGCCTCGCCCGCGGCCACCGCGTAAGGTGCAGGGGAGCGGCGGCGCGGCGCGCGGAAGGGACTTCTCCAAGCGCGCCCGCCGCGCAGCAGCGTCGGAGGCGCGGGGCGAGGGGCGGGCCCGCGGCCGTCAATCAGGCCGCCCCATCGCGGGCAGCTGCAGCGCGCCAGCCCCGCTCCCCTCCGCCTCGAGCCCAGTTACTCCTCCCCTCGCCCCGCGCCTTGCCCGGACTTCATGCAGAGCGCGCGGCGGAGAGGCTTGGGGCGCTCGCGCGGTGCCTCCTCCTGGCCGGGGGCGGGGGCTCGCCTTTACTCGAGAGCAAGCCCCCGGGAGGCTTCTCGGGAGCGGAGCTGCAGGCAGCGGGGAAGCCTCCCCCGCCCTCCCTGGGCCCCCTTCGAGGAGGGCTGCCGCGGAGGTGGTCCTGGGAGGGCTTCAGCCCTCCGCTCTCGGGAGCGACGGACCGGCCCTTCCCGAGATCTCGCTGGGCCGGGCAAACGCCGTCCCGCGTAGAGCTCTTCGGCAGCAAAGCCCCCGGAGCTCAGGGGGCCAGCGTGTGGGGCGCCGCTGCTCTCCTTGGCGTCCCAGCGGAGTCGCCCCAAGCGCTCCTGCCTGGCACCACCGCGCTTCCTTTACTTCTGAGCCGGGTGGCGCTGGAAACCGGCGCTGGCGCAAGCCAAGGCTTCCGCCTCCTCCCTCCACCCTTCCTCATCGTGTCCCCAGATGGCTGCAGCGGCAGCGAAACGGCCCCTCCATGGCGGAGCATCCCGGATTCCTCCAACTCAGGCGGCTGAACGCTGGGCAGCCGCTCCATGGTTTAATTTTGGCCAGATGCGCGGGCGCTGCGTTCTCGGCCACCTTCTTGCTTCCGGAGTCGATGCTGTAGACCGCGGCCGATTGGACCAAACGTTTGCGGGGAGAGAGACCCAAAAGGAGTCCTGCCCCGAGCAGACCCACTGAAATGAGTGATACTTTACGTAGTCTATTGCAGTGGGTCTGTCCAATGTGGGATTTCTATTGGGTTTGCTCACAGTTCCCCACCAGCTTAAAAAAATTGCGCGGGCATGTACAGCGATCTTGCCCCTGTTTGCTCAGAAGAAAATCGCCGCAGAATTGTCCTTGTCCTCCCGGGATGCGGTGCTGCCTAAGTAACTAGCCACCTGGGCCAAAATCCAGGCTAGTGGCCATTGCTTGGAAAGCCCGCTGCATCTTTGCCTGGCAGTAAACTCCAGGGCTTACTTCTGAGCAGATACGTATAGGATTCCACTGCCTATGGTTCAGTTCCGTTCGTCCTCTGCCGGGAGTAAGTTGGACTGAATTCAACGGAACCTTTTTTAGGTAATGCTTGGAGTTCAGTAGTACATCGAGTGGCCCCGATCCCAGACATGTTGATTGAAAAGTGAAGCTGTAGTTCTCTATCCACCTGACTGGGCATAACGGGGACTTACTTCCGAGTAGACGTGCAGTGGCTTGAGCCTTCCTCTTATCCGTACGATTGAAATCATTACCGTGGTCATTGGCATAAAATTCCAACGTCTCAAGCCGCCGGCACAGTAAAACAACACTGATTATTTTTCTTTTTTTAACCAAAGCGTCCTGTCGCTTGCCGGGCCCTCCTTGAAAAGGATCGGGCGCCCCCCCCCCCGCCACCCCCGCGCCTTTTCAACCATTCGTGGGGGGCTTGATAGCATCGGGTCGTAGGCAGCGCCAACCGGCTCAGAGCAGGAGCTGCGCTGAAATGAATGGGGCTGCCGCTTGGCCTCCTGCCTCGAGCATTTCGTACATTTGGAGCAGGTCGCAAATACAAGACCTGGGCCGGGGGGGGGGGGGTGAGAGCAGGGAAGCACCTGAGCCCACGCGGCTGCTCCCGGCTTGAGTTACCTGGCGCGATCTCGCCCCCTCCCCTTTGAAACGGCTCTCCCAGGAGCCCCAGCAGCGCGCCGGATGCCCATCGCCGTGCAGGCAGGCGGTGCGGCGGATGAACACAAAGTAGTCCCGCGAGAGCTGCTTGTTTCCCTCGCTGGTTTTGGAGCGAGGACGAGCTGCAAGCACCAGCCGAAAGGGCTTGCCCGGCGGACGGAGGAGGGGCGGACGAGGAGGAGGAGAGGCGAGGAGGAGGAGGAGAGGCGGCCGGGCGCGCGCTTCGCTTTTGCATAGCCCAGCCCAGCTCAGCCCTTTCCCTTTCCTATTTTTTTTCCGCCCCCCTCTTTCCCCTTTTCGCAAAGACCATGTCAGCCCCGGAGAGCTAGCCCGGGAACTTGCGAGGCTGCTGAGGAAGGAGGGAGGAGGAGGAGGAGGAGGAGGAGGAGGATGAAGAAGCGGAGCCCGGAGGCCAGCTGCCTGCTGCCGCTCGCGCTGCTGCTGCTCCTGGGACCGCGCGCTCCGGGCGCAGAAGCCGCGGTGGGTGCTCCGATCCCCTCTCGCCGCGGGAGTCGTGTGGATCGGGGGCGGTGTGGGGGCGGGGGAGACGGGGCGAAGCCGCCGAAGCTTGGCTGGGGAGGTCGCCGAGGAGGGGAGAGGAATAATCCCCGTATTTATAACTCTGGGTAACTTAAACCTCCGGGGTGGGAGCTCAGGGGCAGCTTGATTCAAGGCTTGCTTTTAAAAATAGGGTCTGGGGCGCGCCTGCTCGGGGCAGCCCTGGGAGCCTGTTGCAAAGCGGAAGCCTGCTGGGAAGGGGGACCCCGTGAAGGGATCTTGCACAGGCACACGGCTCGCGATTCTCGGGTTCCAGAGGGCGCCCTGTCTTTTTTCTGGAGAATGGGGAGGCCAAGCAGGAGCCCACGCTGCCTTCAAAGCGCTGCTCCGAGAGGAACTCTTTCACTGCCGCTTCGCGTCGGACACACTGAGATTCCGTGCACCGACGAAACGCTCCAAGTGCCCCCCCCCCGCAAGTAAAATGTATTTCTTGGAGGGCTGTCCTGGAGGGAGGGGGAAAGTCACCGAAGAAGCGGGGCGGATGGGGCAGGAATGTGCTTTCCCTCTGGTTCAAGTGTCTTCTCCAGGTGCCCGGTGTCCTTATCTTCTCCCCCCACCGCCCGCTTCCACTCCAGTTCCCTCTTCGCGGGGAACGTCTTTATCAAACAAAAGCATGCAGTTTTGTCTAGCGCTCCGGAGCCCAGACGGATGGCTACCCTCTTGAAGTGCGTTTTTAGTATGTGGAAGTGAATTGGCAGGGTTGGTGGTGGAGCGGAAGGCGACCAGCCAAATGCAGAACAAGAGTGCGAGTCGGACTCCCCGTGAGGTTTCCAGGACAAAGAAGGACGGGGTTCTGCTCCAGCTGAAGATCCTTGTCCAGAGGTGGTGGGACCTTGCCTCCCTGTCCCCTCAGGCCTATGGCTGGGGCAGTCCTCGGAGCAGTTCCTTGGATCTGTCCTTGCTTTCCCCCAGGATGTTCTCTGGGCTTGAAGGAAGACATGCAAGGATGGGGTTGCAAAGAGTTTTGTCACGTGTGGGGCCAGAGTCCACAGGAAAGATCCTGGACTTCCAGTGGTGGTGGTAAGGTGTAGCAGACCGGCTGTCTAGGGCGGGTTTCTGGACTTGTACCCCTTTTCTTGATGGTGCTTCCTTATAAGGCTTTGGAAGGCGCTTGAGACGTGTGTTGCAGGGATGCCGGGACTGAAAGATGCTTTTATAGGAAGAAGCACGGTTCAGGTTCTGCTGAAGGCTTCCTGTATCATTCCTTGTCTTGATATTGTGTTCCTTAATGTAGAGTTTCCCTCGTTCAAGCTGGCCATTGCATTGGCTGGTCCAGATGAAGGAGCGAATCTCAGAATGTGGTGTCCAAGGCCACAGATCCAGTCTCTGGTAAAACTGGATCTTGAAGCTAGGTGATCCAGTTCAGTCATTCTTTGCTCTGTGCAAAACTCCCTGGTTAAATTCTGTGCTTCCGACTGGTTGACACCAAGATGTAGCGGCCACCGTGCTCCTGCCCAGTTTCCAAGCATGTGTTTGCTCTGCCTTCCTTTTCTCACTCTTGCTCAAAATCTTCCATACAGTCTTACAAAAGTCCCTCGGACCATATTCCATAGTGTGGGCTAGGCTAGGTGACTTGGAGGGATTGCGGGGCAGGGTGATGGAGCCAATCTATCCAGCACCATTTCGGCTGTGCTGAGCTGGAGCTGCTTTTAGGTAAGGCTCCTTCCCAGCCCTGTGTGGACATGCCTGAGGTTGAACCTGGGGCCGGGGGTGTGTGTTCTCTCCCTGCCACCAACCTCTGCCCCTGCATGCAGTGGGGCTTCTTCTCTTTCTGCCTTGCATTTTCTCCTCCCGTCTCCTTCTGCAGAGGAGCACTGTAAAAGTATCTGTTGCTTGCCTGAATCTGGTGTTGCTGATGGCAGCAATGACTGGCAAAGTTGGTACCTTTAGGAAGGAAGGAGTGCTCTGTTCATGTTGCCTGCTTTCCGTGAAGGGGAAGAAGAAAAGTTTAGTGACAGCCTCTCCCTAGGCAGCCAGGCCTACATATCTTACCCGGGCGCAGAGCCCATTAAATTCAGTGAGACTTATTGCTGAGTAGGCATGTATAGGATTATACTATTAACTTTTCTTCAGAGGCAGAGATGTGTTTAGGGCCAGGGTGATGCAAGGCACCGCATCGATGGTGTTAGTCTTTTATTTGATTTATTGGTAATACTATTTCTGCACTACCAGAGCTTTCTGAGTGATTTACAAGTTGGAAATAAAGCAATAAAATGGGAGGGCAAGAGAATATAAATGCAGAATTAAATGAGAATGCCCACAAAATAGGCCAGAATCAAAGCTTTTAAAACAGGCACTGGCACATTTGAGAGACCTGGTGAGCCTCTCTGAGGATGGCATTCCTCTTCTGGGGTGCCACCACCAAGAAGGCCCTGTCTTGTAGCCACCTATTGGACAGGGCATTTGGAGGGTCTTAGAGCAGGGCTCACAGGGGGGGTCATCGGGGGGGGGGGGGGGCATTTGCCATGGCCTGGACTCCAGTGAGGACCCAGTGATAAAAACCCCTTCAAGTTTCTTCTATGCACCACTGCAGCCAACTTGTTCTCCTGCCTCTCAGCCTGGCCCAGACAAGCCTGAGATAGTGGAACGGCCAAAGGCACTGCTGACTTTTTCATGGAGGGAGGGAGCCACCCAGGGTGTCTTTCCAAAATGCTTTGCAGCCCCACAGTCTGCCCTGCCTTAGGGACCAGGTAGGTTCATATGGGAAGAAGGTTCTCTCTCAAGTTACCTGCTTCTCTATGGGGAACACCAACAATTTATCTTGGGCCTGGAAATGGAGTGGTGGAGAGGGCAGAGCACTGGCCAGATATCATCCACGTGGCCCATCCCAAGCAGTGGTCTGTCCACCCCATTTTGGGCTAATTGGCGTTTCCAGACAGATTTTGAAAGAAAGCCCCAGATGTAATACATTATTATTGACCAATATTGTCTCCCTGTTAAAATAATAGGTACTAGTCTGTGTATTTACTCTAACATATAACAAACAATAATAAAAGTATACAGTCAGGTGATATAAGCAGAATGGAATTAAATCTATGCATACATATGGAATAAAAATAACATAATAAAATAATTAGTGGAGTAGATTGCAGTTGTGCAGTTGTGCGTATTTTGTTGGGTTGGCCACAGGGTATTAGGTCTTCTGCAGCGCTAAAAGCTGAGCACGGTAGATGGGAGTTACACTGTGTATACAGCAAGGTGGGCCCAGTGTTTGTCTTGCAGCCCCCCCCCCCCCCCGAGCATTTTGTAAGTCTAACGGATGAACAAAGATGCGTGCCTCCTCGTCTTATTGGCCCACTTCTAGCAGACTGCAAACTAAATGACATTGTGGCTACATTGTGAGCGAGTCTTTAAGACCTTTCACTGTTTCCTCATAGCCTGCTTCTCTGTATGAATCGGTTTGGCGATGTGGTTACACATGAGTGAATGAATCAGTCCAGATTCTTATCAGTCATCAGAAGTGGGCATAATTCATTGGTTAGATGCTGGTTATACAATTTAGTGGCTAATAGACATTAGTCTGACCGTGTCGTGATAGCACTATCTGTGTTACTTGTTTTTGTAAGTCAGTTAACCATACTTTGATGCTCGAAATGAACATATGTGTGTACATGTATGCTGGAAACAAAAAAGACAGAACTGTGGCTATCCAACTTTGGGCAAGACAAGACTTCCTGGAGAAGACAGTTGTGCTAGGGGAAGCTAAAGGCAGCTTGTAACAACAGCATGCATGTGTGCTTGTGTGCTTGCACACCCAGGCAGTATTCCAAGTAAAAAACAAACAATATGAAAAATTTCAATATTTTGTATAGATTGAGGGCCCATCTGTTTAAAAGCACAGGACTGGGACTCAGGTCATCTTGGTTCTAGTTGCTGCTTGACTATGGAGCCATCTGAGTGAGTCTGGCCAGTCACAGACTCTCAGCCTGGCCTACCTCACAGGATTGTTGTTGGGATAAGATTTTGAGTAGCAGGATGAGAATGATGCAGGCCACTTTGAGTTCTTAAGAAAGGAAGGAAGGATATAAAACAAATAAAATTGAAAAGTGTAAGTTCTTGGATTTCTTTGGTTAACTGTGCTCACATTCCATCTCCCATCACATGGTGTATGGAGAAATCAAATCTCTCATGGGTTGTTGTGCATAAGACATCCAGTCAAAACCCTCTTTTGTGGTGCAACTTGTTTGAGGAGTATAAGAAATAAGTCTAGAAATGCACCTATACAAACAGGCATGTATAGGAATTCATCTGATATCAGTCATTCGTCTGTGGGTGCTTCATTCCGTCCCAACCTCCACATTGCTGGGAATGGAGCTCTAAAAGCTTGGGGCCACAAGCGCCAATGGGAAAGATTCAGGAGTGGATCCCAATTTTTCTAAAAATCCATGGAAAACAAAGGGGTGGAAAGGTGTGCCCCCCAGTTTTTGCTCCCCACCTCACTTTTCTCTCTCCTTTTTCCATGCCTTCACTTCTCTAGCTGACAGTAAGTTCATTGGGATTGTCAGGGATCAGCCTACGAAGGCAAGTGTCCAGTGCAGTCTCCAGTGTGCCCGTTTCATTTGACTTCTTTATTCAAAAGTTTGCATTCTCGGGGACCTCCGTGAGATTGATCACCTGGTCAAAGGCTAGGATGCATCCTGAATCATCCTTTATATTCCTTTACATGCCAACCAGCCTTTGTTGTGAAATCTGTCTATTTTAAAATACAATTGCTAAATAAATACCTGTGCCTAAGGTAAGCGCCATTAGTGCTTTGCTGTGTTGGGAACCTGTGCTAAAAAAGGGGGCACTGCAGGTGCACTCAAGATGAGAATGTTAAAAGCTGGCAAGCTGGTATAACTCTTCTAGCGATCACCAGTCTGCCTCAATCTGAATTTTGCCTTCTGATCCCTCTCCCGTGGAGGACCAATCGTGCCCTTAAG